TATTTTTTGATGTGAAAATTTTGTAAACTATTCAACAAAAAGTTTCTCATTAAAGTTATTCATTAAAGCTATTCATTAAAGCTATTCATTCATTAAAGCTATTCATTAAAGCTATTCATTAAAGCTATTCATTCATTAAAGCTATGCTCATTAAAAAAATTTTTAATATTTTTTTTTTTTACCCCTTATTATTACACAAATATTAACTCAGTTAACTGGTTAACCAAGTTAATTAACTGGTTAAAACAAGACTTTAACCAGTTAACTGTTTAATTGCGGTTAACCGGTTAAAATGGTTAAACAGTTAATGGTGCCAATCTCTATCTGCAGTATTGCAAAGCAGGCCATTAGACGATGAATCAGAGATTCGAGGCTCTGTCTCTTCTTTGAATCATGACACTTATGTGTCTAGTGAGGAATCAGAGATTCAAGGCTATGCCTCGCCTAGTAAAGATCTCAGTCAATATTTTCTACACAGAAAAAATATGGATCCAATAGAAAAAATCGATGGTAATATCTCAACCTATACCAGGCCTTTAGGCGCCTCAAAGAGGCATGATGAGATTACCGAACTACCAAAAGTCGATACCGAGATCAACCCCAAGATAAATGAGGAAACTAATATTAATGAAATAAGTGAGAATATTATACCCCAATATCAAGAAATAAAAATTGTGACTCCACACCTTGCACAACGGGATAATAATATGTCCTCTTTGATTGAATCACATTCTCAGATAAGACCTAGTCTCAAGGCTTTGCCTCTTCCAATAGGAGGAATAGGAACAATTCCCATTGTGGCAAGCACTTTGATGCCATCACTATCGGCATATATCTTTCTTACCTTGTTAATTATTGCAGTTATGTGGTTTGTTATATTGAGACGTACATGGAATATAGGTAAAAAAAGTAATCAGTTGCGGGGTATGTGGGTTAGGTAAACATCTATTTAAACTTGGGTGTTATTTATGTACGAAAAAATATTCCAAGTTTTATATTGTATAGCCACATAGATATGGTGTTATATTGAGTCAACTGCCTTATACCATATATTTAGAAAACTGTCGAGTATCAGTTGATCAGCTTTTGTTATATTAGATATAATAGGTTGCTTGATAACTATCTCATTTTTTCTCATAGTTTTGGGTGGGATGATTTTATCTGGGTTTGATACGTGTTCTTTATATCACATGTGAAACACCAATTTATGGAAGAAAACATTGTATTTCTTGATAATTGGGATAAGTACATTTAGACATTTTGCAAAATCGGAGCATATAGATTCTTTTATTTCATCACTTATCAATAGATTATCATTTTTGGTATACGCTTTAGGAGTACAGTGCGGATCATCTATACTCAAAAGTTAAAATTTTTGAAATATTATGTGATCCACACATTGGATTTTAAAAA